TTAAACTAAAAATATCTCCATCACTTTATTTTACAATCTGCTTGTACAAATATGAAATGTCACAAAATAAAAAATATGTTCTACACTGAATAATATCTTTAGTCTCCTTTCCCCCTTCTAGATTAGCAATTACTTTAATTTCATAACTTGGAACTGCCCCACTAGACTTCTGCTGTTAAGTGTTACAGAGTGTCTTTCATTAGAGAGCACATGACAATATTGGTAGACACAGATTTAGACATACTAGCTGCGTGTTCTGATTTACAGGGGCAGGCAAGCCATTATGCCCCAGTTTTCTCAGGAGTCTTGCCTGCAGGGGTTGCAGGAGGTCAGGATTCATGGCGTTTTCTTAACTTGCCTGCACACAGGAATCAAGGAGACAGGCACAGCTGACTGACAAGAACAACCTACACATTCAGGAATTCATAGTTAATGACAAACCAGTGGTGACAAGCCCTGCTCCCACCAAACATGTGAAATTTGCCTAAGATGCACCCTCTGTGGAGAACTGATAAGATTGTTTGGAATTGGGGGGCTTTCAATAGTTTTGTTTTGCTAAAACAAATTTAAGATTCAGGCCTCATAACAGTAATCACATCCCCCTAATGAACACAGCTTACTTTCATACTTGCTATGTATACCTTTTGTCTTGTATTTATGCCTTTGAACAATTTCAGCTCCCAGCACCTGGCAGGAACTTGCATGATAGTGCTTATCATTTGGATGTACTTGGTAGCCGTGTTGGTCTGAGACAAAAAGATGTACAAAAAAGTAGAACTCTTGGTTCCAAAATTATACCTTTTATTAGACCAAGTAGAAAATGGCAAGAAAACTGTCCTTTTCTACAAGCTTTCGGGATCAAAGTCCCTTTGTCAGAGCCTGATGAAGGGACTTTGATCCCGAAAGCTTGCAGAAAAAGACAGTTTTCTTGGCATTTTCCAGTTGGTCTAATAAAAGGTATCATTTTGGAACCAAGAGTTCTACTTTTTTGTATGTCTATCATCTGGATTTGCTCTTTGGAATGCAAAAAAGGCTTACGTCATTCATACCTGGCATACTGAGAACGCCTCTCCATAAAGATGCACTGGTAAGTTTGGCAAAGGTCACAATTATTGAGCACATGTATGAACACTGTGCAAGGACAGCACTGTTTAAAGGAGGGAAAAAGGCTAAGAAGGTAAAGGATTGCTCTAGATAAATATATTTAGGGGGTCAAAATCTGAGAGGAAAATGAAACATTTAAGCTAAAGGATGTTAACAACAAAAATAAGTCAGGGTAACATGGCCACAAATAAACTTAGACTGGAAATGAAAAAGTCACTAAACTGGTCTTTCTTCCCAAAATACTCCTACCGGAAGGCTGCTCCAGAACCTAACCACTTATAAGATGGAACCTGGTTAATTTATACACAGGATTATGTGATGTGGTTGCCTGCCAAGGCAGGGAACTAGACTCAGTGTCACAAGAGGCTCCTATGTCTGATATTCCAACTATCCAACACCTGTGTAAGAAGCATTCCCACATGAAAATATCCAAGCAGCTTTTAAAAGAAAGGGATGAAGGAAGGGTTTTCAAAGAATCAGCCCTGCATGCAAGTAAATGTCCTGTTTTGGCTGCTTCATCTCAGGAAGTAGAAACAAGTACCATGCTGGGCATCAAGGCCAGAAAGGCAGAAGCCACAAAAAAGTTGTCTGCCTTTCTCAGAGCCATATAAAAATGTGAATTCCAAACTATCTGGTTTGGAAAATGAGGGAAATCCATTTTCCTTTGATCAAAAAATCTTTTTTGCATAAAGACTTTAAAGATAAGTGGGAATAAGAGGAGAGATCAGAAAAAAAAATAGCAGTAACCCTGCTCTCCCGCGAGAAGCCCAAATAAGTAGATCATTTAGTTAGCATCTGAGAGCTCACACTCATTCTGTAAAATTTAGCAGCATTAATCCTTGACTGTAAAAGTTTTTAATCTTCTTTATTTAGATAGCTAACTTGAGACAATTAGACTCCTTATTTAAAAATGAATGTTAGAAAGACAGGCAGCAGGTAGAGTAGATTTGCACCTTTACAGACTAACTGAAATCAGACATATAGCATAAGCTTTCATAAGCAGAGAGCTTCCTTCATCAGATACCGTGAAGGGACAAAAAGAGAAATGTAGAACCACTGCTGAATGACATGCATTACAACCCTGCATTCAGACAGTGTCTTCCATCCCAAAGTGCTTCACGTTTTTTACTAATCTGTATATAAATGTTTATCTACTGCTGAAAAAGTCAATTCCACGATGAAACATTACAAATATTCAACAGTGTACAACAACAGAAAGCAACAATTTAAGGCAAGGAATAAATAATTGTATATGCAGTTAAAACTAGAAGGATCTTCTTATTCTTGATTTGAGTACACAATACAGTATAAATCAAAGTTGAAGCAGGACATGATGCTAACACCCACATACTTAAAAGTATAATGCAGTGTTTAACAAGCATAAAAGGGCAGCTGCAAGTCCAGCTTAAGGACTGTTGCAAGTCCAGCTTAAGGACTGTTGCACCTGGAGTGTCAACCGTTGTGGGGAGCAAGAGATGGGAAAGGGAGGGGATGAGACCAGCTTCAGCTGGGACCATCCCTTCTCCGAGTCTACATTTGAACTTTATATAGAGCTGCTTCATCCCCAACCATTTGGCCTCTGGGAAAGAACCTGCAGCAAAGAGCCAAACACAGAGAGACAGAGCTCATGCAGAAGCATGTTTAGCGGAGACCCAGGATAACCTATTCCTCTTCTCTCTCACTTATGCTACTACTTAGTACCCTGCCTTAGCCTCACTTGACATCTACCTCTTACGTCCTTCTCTTTCTCTCTCTCTCTCTACTTCTCTCCCTTCCAACTACTACTCGCCCCATCCAAAAATATTATCACACTAATGTGATGTTTGCCACCATTTTAACATCTATTTTATTTTAACATTATCTCCATTTTTGCTACCCACTGTCCACCTTGTCCACTGTAATCTCTAAGGCAGAAGCAATAAGACCCCAATCTCCATCAGACCCCAGACATTCACATGATGCACAGGAGTAAAAAATAAGTCAGCTAAACACCACAGAGAAATCAGTGTATGAGAAAGGACATTTGGAGAAGGTTATTACGAAGAAGGACGCCACAAATGGATTATCTGAGCACCAAAGAAATTAGGAAACAAAAGGTCTTTTTACTTTTATCTACATCAGAATGGCCTACAGTACGTTTTGTAAGATTATAATATTCATTCAGCAATTTTTGCTTTTTTTTTTTTTAATTCCTCAGATGGTTGTGGATTGGGAGAGACAGCCACTGCTCACCCACAGGAAAGGGCAGCACGCCTACAAGACCTCTACAAGAACTGGACTGTGTCCAGTTCTGGGAGCTGCACTTTAAGAGGGATGTGGACAGCATCAAGAGGGTCCAGAGGAGGGCCACTCGCATGATCAAGGGACAGCAGGGCAGGTCCTATGAGGAAAGGTTACGGGACCTGAACCTGTTCAGCCTCCAGAAGAGAAGGCTGAGGGGGGATCTTGTGGCCTGCTATAAACTAGTCAGGGGGGATCAACAGGCACTGGGGGAGTCCCTGTCCCCCCAGGAGTGACCAGGAATAACAGTCACAAGCTGGCGGAGGGAAGGTTTAAGTTGGACATCAGGAGGCGCTACTTCATGGTCAGGGCGGCTAGGGTCTGGAACCAGCTTCCAAGTGAGGTGGTGCAGGCTCCCACCCTGGGGGTTTTTAAGAGGAGGCTAGATGACCATCTTGCTGGGGTTGTTTGACCCCAGTACTCTTTCCTTCCATGGCAGGGGGTCGGACTAGATGATGTGCCCAGGTCCCTTCCGACCCTAGAAACTATGAAACCTCAGGAAGCCTACAGATCACAGAAGGGGCTATCAGTACATCAGGTTCATATTTTCCCTTCCAAGGCATCCTGACCTTTAATGGCTTAACATTTAACCAGAAAAGTTGAGATACCAGAAATCACATCCCAGAGGTTTCCTGCTAACTGCGATGTTACCCAATACAAGCTAGAGAAACATCAGTGTAATACCTGGTACTATGCCTAGTGGATTCAACCAAGAGAATATGATCTGCCCCGACAGGTGAAAGTGCTTGAGAATCTAACAGTTCATTTTCCACCTTTTAAACACTCACCTCATATTACTCTGGGAAGAATACACTGTCCATATATTCCCTGCACCATACTGAAAAGAGAGTAAAGCCTTTCACACACCTATCAGCCACTGGATAACTTCACAAAACAGAAAGCCTGCGTTTATTGCGCGCTCTGCCCACACCAGAAACCCAGGGACCTGGAGAGCTCCATTTCAAGGACCTTACTAATTTAGGACCTTACTAATTTAAATTCCTTCCTAACAAAAGCGCTGCTTTCGTAGGCACTGTTTAAAACCATGGTTCACGACCTTTTTTGTACCAGGACCTATCTGTACACATGGGTGGGCAAATAATTAGAGGTGCACCGAGACAGACTTACCAGCTGCACGCAGCTCTCCAAGCACATCGGAAAGCGGATCGGTACGGGCCGATACGCCTCCTTAAAAATCAGCTATCGGTATCAGCTCCCAAAATCTCTATCGGTGCACCACTATAAATCATGTAAGTAGAAAGCAGCCCCCTGGCCCTGCCGGTGCCCTCCACCCAGTGTGGGAGGCAGGGGGTGGGTGGGGGACAGGTGTGTGGCGGGGCAGGGATGTGCATGTGGGGAAAGAGGGTGGCTGTGTGTTGAGGGCAGGGGTGTGCATGTAGGGGGGCACCGATGAGTGTGGGGGGGGCAGAGGGTGCCCAGAGCGCTGCCGGGCTGCGCGGGAACACCCCCGTTTCCCCCGTAAGGGAGAAGACACGTGCAGCCGTGTGCTCGTGCCCCTCTGCTGCGTCCCTGCAGCCCCGGGGGCAGAGGCGCCTGTGCTCAGCGCGCCGGCTGTCAGCACCCGTGTTTCGTGGCTGCGGCGCAGAGACGCTCCCATGGGTGCCGGCGTGCAGGTGAGGCGGGCTGAGACACCCCTGCGCCCTCTCCCACCTGCCCCGGCCCCTCATTACCCGGTCCTTCATCCTCCAGCTCTGCGCCAGGGACTTGGAGCCCTCGATCTTCTCGCAGTGCCGCTTCTTCATGAAGGCCAGGGGCAAGTTCCAGTCCGTCAGGTCGGACTCGTCCTCCTCGCCCAGCCCCAGCA